TTTGATTCTGTTCATACTGCATTGTTCTTACTGGTCATTGCTCTATTTTCCCCAGATAGTCACCCCTTTCTTCTCTCAACATGGAATGACAAGCCATCAGCTGATTCAGAAAAATGACTTTATTAAACTATTAAGTTACTAAGGTCAGAGCCTAGACGTCTGGAAAGAGCTGGGGTGCCAACTCATGCTCTACTGTGCCAGTTACTTTTCTATAGCTGCTGTGTGCCGAGTCTCACTGGGTGGAGGTCCCTGGGGCTCAACAGAATTCAAGAAATTCGGTTACACGGGATTTTCCTCAGCACTATTTCCTGCCCCCAGACTTTTAAGGTGCTATTCTTCTCTCCCTGGGGCTGGAATGCCTACATCAGGCGGCTTTTCGTCCCTTCTGGACTCTTTAGTAGTAGAGCAAAATACAGAAAAGCAGTGCTACCTTGTTGCTCGTTGCTAGTTATGTTGATCCAGAAAAGGATGCTTGTGAGATTCTCTGGCACAAAGTAGCTTCAAGTGCCAAGAGTAAACCCAGGAACAGCACAGTAAAGAATTAAAATTTACCTGAGCAGGCACCAATAGGTGATGAACTTGCTTATGCTGTTGACCAGAAGAAAGGGTTTTCCCAGAAAAGTCCCTACGGCATCACAGAATTGTGCCACCACCAGAATACATTCTTTCCGAAACATTTTACAATTAATCAATGTGATCGATCAGATTTTATTCTAAAAAGACTACACTGAAACCAAGCAATTTTTGAATAAAAAAGGATAGCCATAAGTTTGGATTCTATCATATCCCATTAAAAGCAAGCTCCACTTTTTGGGGGTGGGTAACAGAATGGTGGTAATGCATTTAACTGATAAGCTATTTCTTGGTGTAAACCACTAGAAAGCAGACAAAAATGAATCATAAAAGTGAGTGAACTCTCCTGAGCATGAAAACGAGACGTATTACCACTGTTCATTCCTTTCAGATGGTAAGGCTATTCTGGATCTCTGTAGGTAGCTGATTTCACTCAGTGATTTTTCAAATGCTTAGTCAAACTTTGATAATTTTAAAACAGCTCAGGTATTAGCTGGAATAAGTATGTCTGGTAGAAACCCCTTAAAATAAGCTGGGTATTCAAACTCAAACATACTCTTTTATGATAAAGATAAAAATTATAAACATTTTCCAAGAGCTTTGTTTATAAGCAACAGTCCACTAGTTTCTCTGCAACTCCAATCTAGATTTAAAAAAAAAAAAAGTGGGCGTGGGGGACACTGGAATTTATGGAAACTTCTCATTTAACTTTTTCTGCATAAGTTGTACAAACATGAAAGGACAAAATCAGGGCATCAATATCAGAAAGCAGCAATGTTTTTGATTCCTCTCCCTTCTTTCCCACCTCAAATGCCTCACATACCAATGCAAAAACAAACAAAAAAAACAAAGCTTTACAGGTGTGTGAAATTGACAATCTAAGGATTTCCTGCCCTGTCTACTACTGTAATCAGCGTATATTCACAGCCTCCTTTAAAACTCCTTCTGTGAAAAGGAGCAGCTGGTTTCCGGTTCTTTCTGAATCCACATAACGAAGTAGCTTGCTAACAAAACACACATAATAAAATTAAATTCTGAAAAGGTGGACACCATGGGATTTGACCCAGGATCAAGTTTCCTCCCTGCTTTTCCAGGTATCCTCTTCTTTCCATACTTCAGCATTAGCAGACAAGGATAAGCAACAATTGTTACCGCCAAGATCACCAAATCAAGCCTTCCAAAGGCACAAAATATTTTCCAGAGTTAAAAAAAAAAAAAAAAAACACCTGATAATGTTTTAAGACATTGACTTCACCTCCCCACAGGAAGCAATATCTTAGAGCTCAGTATTCTTGTGCATTTAAAGCATTAAAAGCATCAGCCTGTTTTATTTTGTGACAAGTTTATTGAACAGTATTAAAGACTTCATCTTTATAAACAAAATCCTCTGCTGAAGGATGCCAAGGCAGTATTTGCTGGCAATGTTGTGGCTATATTGGCAATGAGCCATTTTATTGTGTTTAGTTTCTAAAGTTTGGACTACTGTAGAACTGCCAAGAAAGCAGAAAGTGTGGCAATTTTTCAAAGATGGGAAATAATTTTTAAAAATGATTACTGCCAGAAATTCTTTCCAAGATTTGACTAGCAGCAATTTTACATTTTTACTCATTTTTTCAAATGTTCTTAAAATTAATGAGTGGATTTTTAAAAAATTTTCACACACTTGACCCACACCTATACACAATGACAGAATCCAATAAAAGGGAGTTTGTAAGGCTTTCATGCAACCTTAATTTTACCCAAGGTGGCTATTTCCACCCAACATGTATATGTTTCCTCACTTCCATACACAGTCCTAGATTTTCATCCAGTCAGTTAAGACTGACCTTAACTACATTGAACATCACTCTGTGAAATTCTGAGTAAAAAGTTTTCTAATGGAATTTTCATTGTGGATGCCTTGACAACTTAAGAGTACAAAGCTAATAACTACATTCACTCAACACTGTTACATTTTAAAAAAAAAAAAACCACTAATGATTGTACATCCAAACTATAGTATAAACATAGAACACACCTCTAAATTCTGCTTGTGAACTAAATGTTTCACTAAAGTTCAGAAATTTTTACAAATTTACTTATTTATAAAATACATTTTGTAGATTTATCTTATTCCTTTAAATCAAAAGAAAAATGAACACCAATAAAAACTCAGCACAGGGGAGAGAAAAATAAACCTGAAAGATTCTCTTCCATTAATGTAAGAGTCACCAAAAACAATGAAATTTACACAGAAAATTGAAAATATCATGATAGTGTTTACAGATGCACACAACTTTAAGCAAAGCTTTACAAATCCTTCATACCATACAAATCAAATGAGAAAATAACGTAAATTCATTTCCATCCCAAACCTACTTCTTATGAGAAAATTTGAAGAGGGACATGAAAAGTTTCACAGAACATATTTTCAGTAATTTTTTTAAACTGAAACTCCCAACACTCAGAACAAGATAAACAGTATGCTTAGCAGTTAGCACTATGTTAATAAGTCTCAGATACACAAAAATCAAGTTCCAGAGGGCATAGCATTTAATTACATTTCACAACAAAAAAAGCACTGCTGTGATTCAACCAAATATGAAACATAGTTCTCTCCGATTTCTACACAAACTACTATTTTATTTAATTTTGATGAACAATTAAATCAAGTTTTCCTTTTCAGCATTTATCTAAGATGCAGAAATAACAAAGTAGTTGCAATAAAGTATATGAAATATTTAATAAGATGAACCAACATAGAACCAAAATAGTGAAGAAGACTTTCATCTTTAAACAACCCATTTTTCTAAAATGAAAATAGTCAGCTTTCCAATGAGAAAAAATATCCATAGTTGAAATAAAAGACTACCAAGAAGTGCTGACATTTTTTGCACTCTTGTCTTTGGAATGATAAGTGATTACTTAACAGAAAACTTAAACAGCATATACAAACATCATAATGCTTTTTAAATTGAGGAGACAATATATCTAGTATCTTGTATTCGTGAATTATCAAAAGACCCACAACGCAGCCACCTCTTCTTTGAAAGTCCAAACAATCCTTTCCCTAAACAAAAATCCTGTACTGTCAATCCTGTAAGAATGTAGTATTGAAAAGGCTTTCCAAATCTTATCACACAAATTAAACTGCTGCCACTATTAAACTCTAAATTACACGACGCTGTATTTCAGTATTCCACTGACTTGCAACACCAAAAAGGCACTGTATTTTTTTAATAGGAAGTACTTCTTTTAGAAGGCTGCCCCCTTTGTAAGTACATTGATTTGTAGAAATGTTGGGGATGTTTCAAACCAAAACAAGTGGGCCATGCAAAAGACAAAATCTGTTTTTCATGATATCTTACCAATCTCCCATTCTGTATGTTTGTAATAACATGACACATCCTAAGGGCATTTTAACTAAGAAGGAAAGTAACCGTAAGTGGTGCCTTTTGTGGCAGTGAGCAGGACGTTTTAAAGCTAATGCTTTCATAACAAGAACACTTATCAACCAGAACCCATGCGGTCCTCCTCATTGTCCCGAATGTCAAAGAAAAGAAAGAGTACGAAAGGGCAAGGAGCCTCAATTCTCTCCCCTCTGGCAGCTGCACTTTTAGTCTGTATGAAGAATTTTTTGTAAACAGGCTCCTGATGGAACAACTATGCCAAAGCACCTCCAAGAAACAGGATTAAATGCATATCAACCTATGGACTAGCTTACGGATCTTCTGTTCTATAATACTATTGCTAACAAAGCTAAGAACCTCAACTTCAGTTTTAAAAACTGGAAAATGTAATGCTTTCTTATGAATGGATGCTTCTTAGTTAACATACAGGCCAAAATTTCACATAAATTGGGACAGAAGGAAATTGCCAGAACAAGTAGTTCATCATGGACAGGATTTCAAATCAAGCATCTTAAACACTGATTATTAAAAGTGGTTTCTGGTTTTCGATGCCATCCAAACAACATGAACAATTTTTAAACTGACTAAACTAAAACTTGGTGGTCAAACCAAAAAAAGTTCTGGTAGGTAAAAGACTCCATATTTTATTTTTTTGGGAAGTCTTATTCCACACAGTTGTGTGACATTAGAAATCAAAGTTCAAGGTCATAGCATAAACCAAGTATGGAGTTTTATATTAAACAAACAAAACACAGTTCTGCTCATTTACAAATGAGTCAATTAGGCAAACAAAGCAGCAACATCAGAGGCAGGACTGTCTAATATAGCAAGAACCCTCAATAAGCAATAAAGGTACATACAAAGAATCTGTATACAGAGATTTTATTCAATTTTAAAAGAAAATGAGGACTTTAGACAAAGCTTTGACCCTATAACAAAGCAAATCTGTCCAGCTTTAAACCAAATTCCAAGAGTAGCCAATGTCAATTTTTCAGTGGCTGGCAAGAGCACCCTTAGTTAGCTCTACTGACATTTCTATTTTCTTCATCCCGTGTGGTATAAAACAAAACCAATCTAGACTCCTTGATAAGCTTTATGCGGTCATTTGAGTTTTACAAACAGTTTCTCTAATGGTATGCCGAAATCATTTTTCTGTTCTCTCCAGAGAGCTCTACTGTAACATACAGCAATGTTTATCCTGGTAAAGAGTCTTCTGTAAACAGTCAACCAGTGCTGTATATTATGGAAAAACCAAGCTATCTGCAATTCAAACAATCCACAGCTTCTAACCTGGAAATACTAGGAAAACAATCTTGATGCATTAATCACAGCACTATGAAGATCTACCCTACAAAGAATTGATATGAACAGCTATCCTAATATAAGTTTTACTTTCCTTGACCCTATAGGCCTGTCATTTAAATCAATGACAGCAGCTGTGGCTTCATCCCGAGACTCAAAGGCCACCATGGCTTCACCTGTGGGCATACCTTTTTCATTGTATTTTAAACACACTGAGCCTGGGATTACTTGATAGCCGTAAAAGAAATCTAAAATCTCATCAATAGACACAGTGAAGGGCATGTTCTGCACTTTAATGACTGTTGGTCCTGGTTTTCCAGAACTAGATCCAAAGCCAGGGGGACCCCCAATGTGGATTGGTCCAGGCCCAGGCCCAGGCCCAAAGGCTGGCGGCCCACTCATGTGTCCAGGGGCATTTCCAAGACCAGGAGGGCCACTTCCAAAGTTAGGGGGGCCACCTAAACTACCAGGGCCATTTCCAAAATTCTGAGGGCCCGCTCCAAATCCTGATGGCCCACTTAAGTTATTTGGTCCACTTGCAAAACCTGGAACATCCAGTCCTAAACCAGGCAAACCACTGTTTCCGACTGAAGGCATACCAGGCCTAGCATCACCAAAGGCCCCTCCTAATCCTGGAGGAGGGAGTGGTGGCCCAAAGGCGTTAGACCCACCAAAATTACCAGGAAAATTAAATGGGGGCCCATTGTTGGCCTCCTTTGATCCTACAGTCAGGAAAGCATGCTCTTCACCTCCTGCACCGGGCATTCCTACACCAGGCATTCCCGCACCGGGCATTCCGGCGCCAGGCATTCCCGCACCGGGCATTCCCGCACCAGGCATTCCAGTGCTGGGCATTCCAGTGCCGGGCACTCCTGAGCCAGGCATTCCTGCACCGGGCATTCCAGCACCAGGCATTCCTGCACCGGGCATTCCAGCACCGGGCATTCCAGCACCAGGCATTCCTGGAACTGGAGGATTGCCTGGTACAGGAATCTTTAATCCCTTTTTTCCTTGGGCAGGGGGATTTTTTTCAATCTCTCTCATGTCTTCTAGAGTAACTACATGGACAAAAGCTTCTCTCCCATTAAGCTTTTTACGGTGTAAGCGTTCAGACTTACGTGCATCATCTTCATTCTTAAACTGAACCAATGCCTGTCCTAGACCTTGCCCATTGTTATCAACAAGAACATGTACAGCATTTTCATCCACTGGGATTCCCTCCAGGAACTGAAGAACATCCAACTTGGTAATGCTGAATGGAATATTTGTTATGTGGGCACAGACTTTGGCAGAGCTGACATCCCCCTCCGGATTTAACATTATTTCCCTCTGGTCGTAGCTGAAGTTCTGCAGTCTTTTTCTAATCATATCTATCTTTTCTAGCATACCTTTTTTAGTAATTGGGTGAACTTGAATAAAGCGATTGCCCATGTATTGTTTATGGCGACAAAGAGCAGCCTTATAGTCAGCCTCATTCCTGAACTCTACGAAGCCTTCGCCAGTTGCTTTCCCATTGGGTCCATAAGCTATATAAATACTATCTTCCACAATATCTAACTTTTTAAAAAAATCGATGACATGTTTGTTTTCTGCTTCAAATGGTAGCCCTTTCAAGTAAACACAAAAGCCAGCCTCCTGTGGTGATCTTGACCTTGATCTTTTCTGCCCACTGGGCGATTTTGATCTAGGAAGTGTCTGAGGAGGGGGATGGGTTTGTCCAGGAGGTCCCATACTTTGCTTAAAAGTGATATGGCCTCCAGCAGCTACCCACTGTCTCTCTGTGGCAGGGCTAACTTCCACATAGCGTTGAATCATCAGCATTCTGTTTCTTTTCAAAGCTTCAAATGTATCTTGAGGGGAAAGAAATTTAACCAATCCATTCCCATTATTTCGACCTACATGATCTTTCAACAAATGTACTGCATCAACACGGAGCCCATGGAAAAAATCTCTGACATCATTTTCCATTGCAGAAAAGGGCATTCCATGCACACTGACATACAGATCATCAGGGTTGATGGCAAGTGGCTTCACACTGTTTTGAGAGTTCATCTGGATAGGATTAACAGGATTCAAAGGACCCAGAAACACAGGGTTCAGGTTACTGTTCAGATTCATAGGTGCTCCAGAGCCATTCATTCCAGCAGGTAGAGGTGCCACAGGTGGCGGGTTCAAGGGTGGCATGCCTGATATGGGTGGCAGTGTGGTCATGGGAGGCACAGAAGGGACTGGGGGGATTGGGGGAACAGGAGGCACGGGAGGTAACGTAGGTACTGGAGGAGGAACTGGTATTGGGGGAATGGATGGCATCGGTGGCAAAGACGGTATCGCTGGGATTGGAGGAATTGGTGGTGGTGGGACTGTGTTCATTGGAGAGGCTGTGCTCGGAATGGTCGAGCTAAATGTTGGGCTCCCAAAAGAACCCCCCATATTTGGAGGGGCTGTTCCTATGCTGGCTGTGGAAAATGTCTGTATGTTTTTGCTGCTTTCGTGAACAGAAGTGGCGGCAGTAACTACAGTGGGTGAAGGATTATTAAAGTTGGGTACTGTTGTAGGCAAGTTTACCCTGCCACTCATTCCTGAGCTAGGTGGCGGTCCTGATCTACTAGCATTTGCTGGTGGCATATCTAAGTTGGCAGTTTCAAAACGTCTACGGCTCAGTTCAATCATATTCTGCATTTCCGTTTTACTACTCAACAATAGTGTTACTTTTGACCCTTTAATTGTACCACCTGTGCGCATCATACCAAGCCTTGCATCTTCATCAGTGGCAAAAACGATGAAAGCCTCACCCAGTTCACCCCCTACAATATGCACGCCCCCATCAGGGATGGTCAATCCAGAGAAGAAGTGGCGAATGTCCATGGTCCCCGCCACAATCGGGAGACCTTGCAAACGGATGACCACAGCCATGCTGCGCTGAAACCACACACACCTGCAGATGAGAAAAGGCAACGGCCAGGTCAGACTCCTGTTTATCACACCAAGTTTTTAGCTACAAGAAAGACCAACTACCATATTAGGCCCTCAAATATTCCCTTCGAGTTATCACAGGCAATGTCTTTAATTTGGATATTCTAAAAACTGAACATTACATGCCATTTACAATGTAAAACCTAAACAATTTCAACTTCCAAAGGCATTAAATCAGGAAACAATTAGAAGTTCAGTCCCAAGACTCAAGTTTCAGGAAAAAAGAACCACAGGACAGTAAAATCACCAATTACATCACTCAAACCACTGATTAGTCTGTAAGATTTAAAAGAAATGTGTACACTGAATCAAGAAACAAAGTTTAACAATCTATAAGGGAAAAACATGCAAAGGATGCATGACAATTACTATTTAAAACTGGCTTAGCAAGTGAAACAACTAGAACAGAAATAACAAGGCTGTTGACACAATATGAAGAATTTAACCAATGTCCCTGATCACTATGTCTAGAAAACTGTGGAATGGGAGTAGGTTTTGCTATATATATTTTCACCAAAAACTTAAAAAAGCAAAACAACAAAACAAACAAAAAAAATTAGCTTAGCATCTTCCCTATAAACTTGACAACTTCATAGAATTATCAGTGTCATTTTACACAGCTGTCTCAAAAGCCAACAAAAACAAAAAACTAGAATACTAATGAATTACAAATAATACCTAACACTAAAGTAGACTCAAGTCTCAAATGAGAACTGATTCCAGATGTCATCCTAAAACTCTTCAATCAGCCTTGTAGCTCTACTTATTAAATACAACTACATTTGGAATTAGTATTACTAACAAGGTTAATACATACTAAGACTCCAAAAGAAATACTGAATAGCCAAAATCTGAGCTAGATATATATGTTATCACCTCAAAAAAGTAGAACCTAGTCACAGTACAGTTCACCATAGCTGTTTTAATAAAAACTCAGGTCCAATGACTCATTCCTAAGCCCTCCATTAAAAAAAAAAGAAAAGAAACAAAGGAAAAAAAACCAGGAGGGGAAAAAAGTCTTGTTTTTCCCGCAGGAAATTAAAATGAGGAATTTTTTGTGTTTTTGTTTTAGAGGAAGTAGAATGTGAACTTTACTCAATCACTGTTACAGTCCCTGACCCAACATATAACTCCTGTGGGATCTCTGGTTGCTCACTGATTTTCTTAGATCACATCCATTTTGATTTAATCAAAAAGAAAAGCTTCTCCCAAATTTAAGTCAAATTTCAGAATTTCAGTTCTAATGGCTTCCAACTGCAAATGCAAGGGCAGCCCTTTCTAAAGTTATACAAATCAAATTCTTGGAACTAGAAAAAACATTAATTTGAAATTAATCTGGTCAACAACATAGGTTATTTTCCAAGCCATCTTAAAAATCAACTTTTAAAAATATGCCTATTTACTGGCTCTGTGACCTCAGGGAAGTTATGAATTATTTGAACTTTGGTTTTATCACTTCTCAAATGAACACTAGAATGGGCAATGTTTCCTTCAAGCTCTAAGACTTCCATAACTCCACGAAAGCACAGTTCTTCAATGTCAAATACCATGTGTATGAATACTAACTGAATACAAGAAAGTCTGTAAATATATCTCAATATTATGACTGCTGTACACAAAAGAGAAATATATGGTTTGGCTTCGACAGTTTTCTCACACGCACATACACAAAAATAAAAGCCACCTTAGTTTAATCCAGAAAGTTGGACTGGCAAACAAAGAATGCTCTTTTTGAGGCTATTATAAACTAGTTGCCATCAAGTCAATTCTGACTCATGGTAACTCATGTATGTCAGAGTAGAACTGTGCTCAAATATGGCTTATTTTTCAGAAATAGATTGCCAAGCCTTTCTTCTGAGGCACCTCTAGGTGGCCCTGAACCTGCAACCTTTCAGTTAGCAGCCAAGAGCATTAGCCATTTGAGCCACCCAGGGACTCCTAGGCTATTATAAAACCCTAGAAATTTGGGGAATAAGGGGGAAGCTTTTCACTTTTGGTCTGCAAGAGTCAACAAGAAAAACTAACACTTAAAAAAAACAAAACAAAAAAAAAACAAAACACCAGCATGTATTCTTTTCTCCTTATTTACTATTTAGCAGCCTATAAGAAGTTCACCAAGAAGTTTCCAGGTCATAAACAAAATATGCATTCCTTACTGACTCTAGAATACATGGCTATGTGCAAAATTGAGACAGCATTCCTGTTCAACTCCAAAAAAAGCTAAATCACTTTATATGGGGGGAAACATCATGGGTAATCTAAGTATCCCAAACAACTTGAGAAAGATCTGCTAGTTTGCATTAGGACAACAAAATGAGAACCTCATATGGTCCCAAGAACACACAAATAAAACACAGGGCTAAAATGACATACACAGTAATTCTTTAAACCGTCTGATGATGAAAAAAGGGATTTAGTGAAAGTCTATACAAGGTACACATAAAAACATGCTACTGACAATCTGCCTCAACTACCAGCTAGAAAAGGGCTAAAGATTAAACCAAAGCAGAGCAAAAGATTTATTCATAAAGCCATCTGCAGAGGAAAATACTTAGTTTTTAGGTTTTGAAAAAGATGAAATAACATCTGCTACTCTGCTAAGTACCTGTCTAATCTTGGATAAGTCATTTTAACACATCTTGAGCCTAACTTAGTTAACTAAACAAGAGGGTTAGATTCCAATCACTAAGGTTCCTTCTAAAGTCTAAAATTTGTACTCTAAAACATATAGCCCAATATCTATACCTATACCTCTAGGGAATATGAATAACCATACCAATAACAAGCACCTGTATTTATAATTAGTCTAGATTGCTACTGAGGAAAAAACAGCTACTTACTGCCTAACAATCAGGAATGCAACAGGAGAAATGCATCCATATAAACTGACCCCTGAAGAGGCAACAACTGTTTAAGGCACCCAGTTCACCCAACCCCAACTCCATCCCTCAGATAAGCTTGAAAAAAGCACAATTTAGTTACTACACATATTTTCGTGTCATTTAAGCCATCTCATTTTATTCTGTAGAAAAACAAGCCCTCTATTCAAAATCTCTTACCTGATAAAACAAGGGATGTATTTTCTTAACAAGAAGTAGAGGCCAAGTCAATCCTGTGGGCAACCAATTAAAACCAACTTTTAGACTGCAATAGAGAATAAACGGAGGCAAAAATCAATGCAGGAAACACAAAACAACACTCACAGGCCACACTGAACTGTACATTAAGAAGGCGAGTCTGAAACCACCAGAGTACTTCATTAGAATGCATACCAAGGAGGGGGAGAAGGGGAACGATATGTACCAAAATCCCACACATGATTATTACTTGGTATTGATTTCAAATTTGAGTCTCTCTCAAAACATCATATATTTTACATATATCAAGAATGTGTCAAAATTAGCCCAAAATGAATTCAAAGCAGTCATAAAGCTCAGCTTCACAGCTGGTAATTGCTTTTATCATTTGATGATCAAACCAGTTGGGTCTAATAAAAAGAGTGTCATGAAGAAGTCCAGAAAACTCCGTAACACAAGTCCAAACGCTGCCTATTGCCCCAGGTTCCCACTAAACTTTTGATGAAAAAGTACATGTTCACATAATAACAGTTCCTGGACAAATTAAGTCATCAATTTAAGGGTACTCATGGAAATTACTGCAATTACTTTCAACTTTCTTTTGCACCAAAACAGCATCAAACACACAAAACATACACGAAGTGAAACTTCTCACTATAAGGGCCAATTCGTAGTTAAACCACTGGGGTTCAAAACATTAAGGAAAAGCACTTCTTCCTCTAACATCAAAATAGTTCCAAGACACTTGTGTTTAAAAAAAAAATCCCTAAAAATGTCTAGTATATTAAAAGTTATTTTCTCAAAATAAATACAGGTCGCTCATTTTTTACTGGAATTTCTTCCAAACTAATGATGTTATGAACAAAACACAAGCAATATATGACCAAACGACAAGACAACTCTATTCAAAAGGTCATTTTTTAACTCAGAGAAACACAGTAGAAAAAAATGGCCATTGTTAATAGAATTATCAATAGAAGACTACTTATCAGAACAATGCTCATTTTTAATTAATATCTTTCAAAATCAAAAGACCACCAGTGAGCTTAATTCATCACCAAAAAGTAACATACTTCTGAAATTCTAAGTACTCCAAACCTTTCTAAGGGACAAGCTAAAAATCTAGTCAACTACTCAAATTACTAAACAGTGAAATTGTTTTGCCACAAAAAAACCACCCAAATGTAACGAACAATGCTTTTAAACGCCCAGAGTACTGTATTAATCTTTTATGTGTTGTACAAGTGTATCCTTACTAATTAAGTCTGAAGAGTTTAAAAACTCTTCATTTAAAAGCCACAACTAGTAGTTTATCCAATGGATCACAAAATGAAATTTGAAACAGGAAAAAAAAAGCTTACTTCCAGTAAAGAGTTTGCTAAACGTGGAAGATCATGAATTACGGCAACATTCATTTCTAAATTTATAGATTTGGCTCTGTGAACTATAGAACCAGGGTAATTTTTTACTTAAGCACGTGTGATAAACATTTGATCTCCCAGTGGAGATTCCAATCCAAAAGGTCTGGCACAGGGCCAGGACATGTGCCCTGGAAGTTAAGGGACAGGTTCCTTAGCCTCTTCCCTATCAGACCCAAGAAGATAGACCCTTGTCCATTTGGAGAAGAACAAGTTCTGAATCAGTCAGTTAAGCCCAAAGGGAACTCACTTTAAAAAATCTCTAAAGGGCTGCCAGAAATTACTTAAACAAGGAGGGAACTTTTCATTGACAAGGTAAGGTTACAATGCTCAGTTGTATCTAGCAAATGATTATTTTAAGTGTTACGTGTTCAATTAAAAATACAACATCAATCAACATGGAAACCTGTGATTCTCTTCTATTTCAGCAAAGAGAAGCCCCATCCCACCCCATACCAAGGAAAATTATATAGAAAGTCAAAGCTAGAAGACAGAACTTCACAACCCTTGGCGTCATACTATTTCCTTCAAATGGAAACTGAAAATTGAAGTACTTTTATGATTTATTTTTATTCTTTGGTTTTCAATGCTTCATTTTGTAAAAAGCACAACAATTTAACAGAGGCATCATTGTTTTCTAGGAACCAACTCAATCCTGTGTTCTAAATGCCAGCTAGCAAATGAACGCACGATCGCAAAACAAAAAAAATCCACTCCACTCACCTCAAGCTTAGGTGAGTTTTGAAAGGATTAACACCGAATTCTAAGCAACAAAACATCTAAAATACATGTTTCACCTATACATACAGCATAAGGGTAGGAAAGGAGAAAATACGCCTGATTTGTCATTAAACCCGCTTCAAATGCTTCAAAAGATCTAAAACAAGAAGTTTGCTTTAGTGTATTTTCCATTTTATGTTAGAAATTAGTCCTAACACAGTGGCTTTGCTTTAGCTTTACAAATACCAGACACACACACTATTTATAAATACCTGCTACAAAATTAAATAATTTAGTATATTGTTACGACAAGATAGACAGACATTAACAGCCGTTCCAATCACTTGGAATTTCAGAATAAAATGTCTGACAACAATCCTCTATCAAGAAGTCAAGGCACAGACCAGAACTTGACCATTTCCACTCTTCATCTGGTTAACAAATATCCAAAAGTGAATTTTTTAACTTTGTACAGTGATCAGTCTTTAAGCAACAAGAACCAGGGTACAGCAGAACTAGGTTCTTCTGATCCAAAAGAAACAAAAAACTAACAACCACTCAAATGTTCACCTTAGAGATGAGCAACAGAGAATCAATCACAATGGGCACAATGCTATAAGCAGTATAATCACATTATGGTAGGCATTACAAAGCAACCACAACTTCATTCGCTTGATTTTGTCCGCGTTCCCCCAAATGGATCACATTTCAGATTCTGGGATCATCTTAATAAAACATTATTTCTGACCCTAATGAGATGTATGTATCCTTTTTATAATACATTACTCAATTTTCCCATTTAACATCCAGTCAGTACTCAAAAGGAAGCAAATCAAAAGACATTTATTCTGCCTGACTTTAATATTACTTTTCACTCCCCCCAAATGCCAACAAAAATTTTCATTATCTTACTTCATTTAATCTTCAAAGCAACAATACCTAGTCAACCACATTCACCCTCACTACTGATTTTAAGACTTAAGCTTTAAACTTAATTAAACTCCATGCAAATCAAAAGGTATACGGGTGGCAGTAGTAAATCTGATAAACCTATAAAGGGTGAACTTGTTTTTCTGCTTAGTTGGCCTAAACATTTAACAATATTCATTTATTCCACAAACATTTATTAAGCACTTGTGAGCCAGGCAGGAGATATAAAAATGATCAACAGTCCCTGCATTTTAGGGAGCAATATCTAAAAGCATCTTTTGTGCAGCCAGTTATTGACACTTACAGGTTATTCCTAAAACACTTACAGAAGAAAACATTTATCTAAGCTAAGTGATGTTACAAAATATAACACAAATAGTATCACTAGGTTCTAGCACCTTGAACACACTGGCCCAAAATATTGAGCTTCACTTCTAAAAACTGTACCAACAACTCCCAAATTCTCAATATGTAGTCATCAAAATATTCGGCATGTCAAAGAAAGTGTAAGAAACCTAAAGTAGACACTGGTATTATCACGTAACAAAATGTTTCAAGTAACTACCAGAATGGTTTCTAAAGCTTCATATTTTTCACTTAACAAATGTAAACGTAAGAAAAACTGAAATTATACATTACAATCCATGAACAAAGTAATCAAAATTTAATGGAGCATATAATAGAATGTATTCCGTTTCACTTAAAAAAACTGCCCAATAACACATACTAAGCACATCCTCATTAACTCTTTCATATAAACACCACCAAAAGTTTCATTTTCTTCAAAAATTAAATTACTATCAAATTATTTAAACCACCTGTAACAGTTGTTCCCAACTCCTGTTTCATATTCTCGGAGAGTGCCTGGACACATTACTTTCCATTAATCCAAAAATCCTCCATTTGATCAAAACTACCAAATTTCAAAATCAGGTACAACCAGTCTTGTATTATACTTTTATAATTAAAAAAAAAAAAAAGATTTCCTTGTATGTCCAAACTTGTAAGATTTTTTTCCAACTGCAAACACTTTGAAAGGAAAAACAATATAAACTGGGTAACAAGGCCCAGGCAATTCTGTTACTAATACTTCATTTTACAAAAAGTACACCATTTTAAACCACTGGAGCAATAAGCTGTAACAGAAGTTAACTCCAATCACAAGCCTCTCTCTTCAATAAACCTTCAGATGCAATCACGCTTTTCAGGTGGCTGTATTGACAAGCATCACCCTAATCTTAAAAATACAAAATGGTTCCTGCCAACTGCCCAAATTTACATTAGGTCATCTCCGGGAATCCAAGAGCTAAGAAGAGTTTTAGGGCCCAAAAAACTCTCCTACAGAGCCTGCAGTTCTCAGAATACACCTCCAAGCGCTGAAAAATCCTTGATTACCCTTACCGGGGACGCTTAGATTTTTTTTACTGTAAAGCTCACGCTGCAGTCACACAAACAGCCCACGCACTTGCAACCTAGCAGCTAAGCCTACTGTACTAGTGCCCATCTCCGTCACTAACCTGTAAATCCTAAGACCCTCCCACCCTTTCACGTGGCTGCAAACTAGCACCACCAGCCTCTGCCCTCCATGGAAAGCACTCACTCTCCTTATCCCATTGGGCCGCCTCCTTCCTCAGTGCCGGAGGCTCCCTCCCAAGGAGGCTGGTAAAAGTGCAGCTCACGGCAGCTCCTTCCCGGACTACTTGGGGCCAAAGAGGCTGGGTATCTCACAGCAATTCTCAGAGACTTGGGGGATGCATTCACTTCAACTTTCCTGCTACAGAGGCCGGCTTCTAAATTGCCTAGACCCTAGAGGATAAGCCCCTGACCAGGGTGGGTCTTGGAAGCACTTCACTGCAACCCCCTCCCACCTCTGGCTAGAGGCGGCTAGGTCCGAGGCCTCCTTCCGGGATTCACAGGGTGTGCCAACTACAGCTTCCTCCCCACAGGTATCCTGACTGCAGTCCCTTTTCTGGAAGGCCACAGGGTCCTCCTTCCCACTTCGAGGGTAGGGAGTGTTCTCACTACGATTATCTCCTCGCTTCGGGGCACAGAGGTGTACTTATAACCTCTTCCATATTAGGGGCACTGAAAGGCGTCCCCATTTCGGGATACAAGTGTTTTCAACACAGTCCCCGTGAGTTCTCAAGCTGCTGGGCCTCCCAGCTCTGGCCTCATCCCTCTGACACCACGGGGCGTCCTGCTATGGCATCGTTCCCACTTCGGTACGCAGATTCATCCGACTCTTGCGTTCTCCTTGCATCCTTCAGGCCTCATAGATTTAAGTGGTGCCCCAAGTCCCCCGCAGCCCTGCCCCGACCCTTTGTGTGGGGCGCCCGCTGCGGCGGGCTAGAAGGCCGCCGAAAGCCCCGCCCCGGGCCACCAAGGGGCGGCTCGAGCCCCGTACAGCCCCGCCTGTTCCGGGGCTGCGGGAGTCTTACCGGGGAGAGCTGCGCGGTACCCGAACCCAGACCCGAGTTACCCCCCGCGCGAGTGCCTCCGCCCCGCGGCCGACAGCCCCAGCCCGAACGGCTTCCCGGAGCCCACCGCAGTCACCACCTCCTTTGCCGCTTCACAAAATGGCCGCCGGCCCGCTCAGCCGCTTCGCGTTCCAGAAAGAAGGGGAGGGGGACGGAGTAGTGATGTCATGGGGCGGGGCGGCGCAAGCGTACTGAGGCTGCCGGGCAGACTCCCGGAAATTGCTCGTGTTTGTGGTGAGAGGGGCTCTGAATCCAAGCATGCGACAAATGGGCGTTCGCTGGGTCTCGGGAGAGTGACGCTGCACTGTCGGATAGGTAGGCATTTATGGCTCAGCCCCTCACTGCCGGATCTTGCACAAATTGCTTCACGTCTTCCAGCCTCTGTGAAAGGAGGGAAGTGGTACTTATCTCGCAGAATCGTTATTGTTAGGAGCCATCGACTCAGTTCCGACCCATAGCGACTCTATATACAACAGAACGAAACACGGCGGACTCCTGTGCCATCCTCATGATGTTGTTATGCTTGAGCTTATTGTTGCAGCCCCTGTGTCAGTCCAGCTTGTTGAGGGTGTTCCTCTTTTTGCTAAACCTCTACTTTACCAAGCATGATGTTCTTCTCCAGGGACTGGTGCCTCCTGATGACATGTCCAAAGTACGTGAGACAAAGTCTCGCCATCCTCGCTTCTAAGGAGCATTCTTGGCTGTACTTCTTTGAAGACAGATTTGTTCGTTCTTTCGGCAGTCCATGGTATATTCAATATTCTTCGCCAACACAATAATTCAAAAGTGTCAGTTCTTCGGTCTTCCGAATTCATTGTCCAGCTTTCATATGCATATGAGGCGATTGAAAACACCAAGCCTTGGGTCAGGCACACCTTAGTCCTTAAAGTTACCATCTTTGCTTTTTAACACTTGAAAGGGGTCTTTTGCAACTGATTTCTCGAGTGCTGCTCCATGGGTGTTGCTTGTGGATCCAAGTAAAATGAAGTCCTTGACAACTTCAGTCTTTTCTCCATTTATCATGATGTTGCAGAGTCGTTATGAGGATTAAACGGACCACGTAGTGGTTAATACTTCTACTAACAATACCTTGACATAAGCAAAACCTGAAAAAAAATTTTTCCATTAAAAAATTAAAATTCAGGGAGCCTTACCCACCACTCCTCATTAGCCCCTTAAAGATGCACTTTATTATTATAGAAAAAACTATTCTCAAGCTGCTTTGGTCCTAACACCCTAGTCTTCACTCCCCCTGCCTATACCCTGTATCTTGATGAATGTCACCATAATTGACCTAGTCTTACATGACAAAGAGAAGTCAACTAACAAAATTGGGGCCTAAATTATCACAACTCTAACAAGCTTTTAGCAAAGTGGTTAAGAGCTCAGCTGCTAACAAAAAGTCGGCAGTTCAAATCTACCAGCCGGTCCTTGGAAACCCTATGGGACAGTTCCACTGTCCTATAGGATCACTATGAGTCGGAATTGACTTGATGGCAACAAGTAACAAGCTTTTGGGAGGATCCGTGCAGCAGCCTTTATTGGTGCCAGCCCAGTATTCCAAAAACAACAAATTGAAAACACAGTCCACACTTTTAAACGAAATGTATACTACTTTACATAGGAGCCCTGGTGGCACAGTGGTTAAGCACTTGGCTGCTTACTGAAAGACAGGATGTTCCAACCCACCAGCTGCTCCTTGGGAGAAAGATATGGCAGTCTGCTTCCATAAAGATTTACAGCCTTGGGACACTATGAGGCAGTTCTACTCTGTCCTGTAGAGTCACTATGAGTCAGAATTGACTCGACAGCAACAGGTTTGGTTTGGTTTATACTTTATATATACTGTTTGTAGGAATGCTATAGTTCATTAAAAAAAAAAAAAACTTCCTAAATGCAATGTAGCATCCAGGATTGGATATTGGAACAGGAGATGGACATTAGTGGAAAAACTGGTGAAATCTGAATAGTCTGTAGTTAGTAATGTACCAATCTTTTGATCTCTTAGTTTTGACAAATGTACCATAGTTCTATGTAAAATGTTAAAATTAGAGGAAACTAGGAGATGGGTATATGAGAACTCTGTACTGTATCTGTAACTTTTCTGTAAATCTAGTATTCTAAAATAAAGTTGATTAATAATAAAAAACCTTTCTAATTTCATCTTTCTTTCCCTTGTCCATCTTCATTTACCATACTTTTGCCCAGTGACTTCCAAATTTTCACCCTTACCCACAATATGAAATACACTTGCAACCTGGTGTACGTATCCAAATGTATAATCAAAATGAAAAATTTAGTATGTTTTTTGAGGCACTCTAATATTTTCTTTTCTCTCCCATTTTTTAGTGCTAGTAACTATCCACCTGAGAGTTTAGACCCACAGATGGAAAAACTGCTCCAGTAGTATTGGCCTTCTCTTGATTTCTCAAATACACCATGCTTTTTCACATCTCAGATCCTTTGCTGTTGCTGCTCCTTCAGCCTGGAACACTCATCCCTAGAACACCCAGGGTAGTAGGTTCTCCCTACCACTCTGTTTAGTTCTTCCATAGCACTTATGACAATCTGTAGTAGTCTTATTTGTTTACTTCTTATTCTGTCTCTCCACTAGAATGAAAACTCATTGAAAGCAGGGTCCTTTTTAGTCCTGTTAACCAGTATATCTCCAATACTCAGAATAATGCCTGGCTCCTGGCAGGCACTCCAGTAATTGTAGAATGAACAGATATGCAAACAGATCCAGTCATCTATGAAAATCAAGTGGAGTGATAGTCTGCTCATAGTTCCCAAGTGTACCTTCCACTTTGCCCTGAGCCTTTCATAAAAGTCACAGAGCAAATAGAAGGTAAATTTATTTCTCCAATCTGTAAATTAACAAATTTTAAGGAGACAAACATAAATTATTTTAATAATGGGTGGAGTCATAGATGCTTCTAGCTCTGTTAGGTAAAAAGAAAAGAAAGAGGATGAGAACAGAAAGAAGGCGAGCCTTCTAAATAACATGCTGCTCGGTCTACAATCAATTCGAAGAGGTGGCCTTTGGAAGCACAAAAAAGATTAAATCTCAGTCGATTAGGCTTGTTGCTGAAGGAGCCAATGCAGCTGAGCAGCAAAAAGTGACAAATCAAAAGTCCACGTAGAATATCAGGGTCCTAAAGAGCCTTCTTCCTGTTCTTCTGGCTCTCTCTACCAAATACACAGGCATGTCCAGCAGCAATATCATACCAAATGTCCCTACTGCTTCACAATTAGAATGCCCACCCACTGTAAGACCAAAGGAAGACTTCTGGAGAGAAATGGGGGAATATTTCCCACCAAAAGAGTCGAGGCTGGGGAAAGATAGTTTTCTTGTGTTTCTGTCTTAGAGGTGGGCTGATGCTGAAGTCATCTGGGCTACAGCAATTCTGGTTTGAACGTGGAACACTCTCCGGGTTTAACAAGGTGCCTGGTGTACATGGATCAGTGAGACAGGACAGGCCAGGCCCACAAAAGTGACTGTTCTTCTAGTGTTGAGTCCACTTGATGCTCTTGAGGTCAATGCCATCCTGTACCATCTCCCAGAGAGGGCTGCCAAAGAGAAGAGACATTGGATGAGTGAGGGCACAGACAGGAAGCAGTCAACATTGGCTCTGAGGCCCTCAGCAATGACTTGCCTCCTTCTGTCCTTATCTCTGTCTCCGTGCCCTGGCAGACCCCAACATAGGTAGCTAGCAAGTCTTCTCCAGCTATCTGAAAGTCCTTGCCAGTTCCAGCCTCTTCCCAACTGCCAACAAATAAGAATAACTAGCTACCCTAGGCTCACCTCCACTGGGGCCCTGAGCCAATGGGCATCAAGCATGGTCATATTTTTGAAGATCCTATCCCACTTATGAGAGGCTACAGACACAGTCTCCCTGGTGGGGGCGGGGTGGGGGAGACCAAGACCCTTGAGCCCTGTATAAGCAGCAAATTTCAGGGTCTCTACTAACCCCCATCATGAATGGTCCACTTTTCAGCACTAGTTTCTAGGTTTTACTCTACTTGTCAGGTAGGGCTGGAGCTTACCCCTAAATCATCTGGGTATGCAGCACCCTCACCCTATTCCTACCATCTCCCCTGAGTTAGACTCTGGTTCCAACATCCCTGGATGCAATACAAAAGGACTTCTTGGAACTTGGACGTAGACATCCCATCACACAAAGGAACTGCTGCCAAGAAATCTTTGCTAAGCTCCCATCCCCTTTAGCTTGGATGTCTTGAATAATGATACCAGACTAGATATTACTTCAATGAGCCAGGATTATGGGATTCTGTGGTTAGTTTTTTTTCTTCCCCATATCATTCTATTCTTGGCTTACTCTTCTCCTTTACACTATGCATTCCCAGCATGCCTTGCCATTTATGACATTTTCCGTGGCCATTTAATGTTAGCAATCTCCTTTCTGTCCCTTCTCTACAGGAGAAGTCATTTATTATAAGATCACAAAATGAGGCTCTGGCTGAAGGCTAAAGGGATCAAGCTGAATCTAGTTTGTAAAGTGTCAGAAGCAATAGGGTGCAGGTAATGAAGCCACAGATAAGAATAAAGGTTTGCTGGCAGCATGGTCAATAAAAATGTCCCTTGGGTATACCAGAGAGTACCAGAAAGCCAGACCAAAGGAAGAATCCTGAGCCTAAGACAGCTGTGAAAGCTATAAATGCTTAAGTTATTCACTTTGGCCTTGGGAAGGAAAATCCAGAGCCCAGAGAGGCCTAGAAGAGCTCACAAAGGGAAGCAGAGTGTATACATGAACTTTCTCATTCCCAACAATCGGACCAACAGAATCTTCAAAGTCAAGCTCAACCAGGATTGAACCATGCTGTGAAAAAGTCCAGAGTCCTCAATGTTCCCAGGAGGAAGTTGAGCTGTATGGCTATTAGGGGCAATCCTCGTGGCAGCTGACCAGTCAAGGACTTTATGTGTACCTTTACAAAGAGAACTCTGAGCAGTGGTTCTTAACATTTTGAGAATCTGATAAAAACTCTAAGTACCCCTCCAAAAAAAATGCACAACTTCACAACATTTAGCATGTAACTTCAGGGCAATCATTTATCTCCTGAAGTTGAACTACAGAACGCAAACTAAGAATCCCATCTCGAAGGGAGTTTTCCAATAATTAGTCTAAAAATCACTAATTTTTTATTAGTACTGATGCAATGACAACTACTAATACTATCAATAATGAAAATATTACCTGCATTTATGTAGTTCTTAGTCTTTAAAAACACTTTCTCATATTCTGAAAACATGTAGCTGAGAAGAGCTGCTTTCTCACTTCCTGGGACCTCTAAATTCTAAAGTCCAAGTACAGTCATCCCTCAGTATCCTCGGAAGACTGGTTCCAGGACCCTCCGCGGATACCAAAATCCGAGGATGCTCAAGTGCCTTATATAAAATGGCATAGTATTTGCATATAAACTATGCACATCCTCCAGTATACTTTAAATTATCTCTAGATTAGTTATGATACCTAATACAATGTAAATGCTATGTAAAGTTTTTTTCATCACAGTTGGAGACTTGCTCTGGAAGGTAACCTTTCTCTTCTACGAGTTTCTTGAGCTCTTCTGGGATGAGCCGACGCTCATTTGCCTGTGATTTTTAAATTCTTGAGTCTATTGCACTTTACATTGCTAGCCAGCCATCCCTTATTAGCCTTAAACTCCTTCCTCTCATTCTCCTCAACCCTCTCACACCTAGCCTTTGAGGGCTTGCTTTGACCATTTAATTGCTTTTCAGGAGCCATTTTTTAACAAAAACAAAGGGTGCACACAACACAAACAGCGAATGAATGAGACGGGAGGCAAACAATGCTCAAACAAGTGCTGGAGAGAGCCTGAGGATCTGTGAAATGGCGGGAAGCTACAGCAGGGTGTGCCTACACATCACTTCATTCACGTGGATTCAGCATAGTGCATGGCACAAGGCAAATTCAAGTTCTGCTTTTTGGAACTAACTCCCTCCCCTCCTGAATATTTTCGATCCACAGGTAGTTGAATCCTCGGATGCAGAGCCCGCACATACAGAGGGCTGACTGCACTCTCAAGCTTTGCTTTCTAGCAGTGTGAACACATAGCCTAAGGACAAGAGAGGAGCCAGCACTACAGTTTCTTCCAAAGGGTCTGCAGTATAATACCGCATACCTCATTTCTCGAAGACGCTTCACATGCTGGATGCACTTCTCCACTGTGTAGTCCACTTCTTCCTCTGTAGTGAAGCGGCCAATGCCAAACCTAAAAAAGGCCACAGAGAAGAGCTCTGCATCAGAGCTGTGGCACCAGGATAAATTCATTCAACAAATATTTGCCGAAGATCTCCTACACATAAGACACACAGAGAGAAGAACGTAGTCCTTCCCACCTAGACCCTTCCCTAAGGCAGCATTTCTCAGAATGTGATGCATGGACCAGCCACATTTGATTCACCTGAGGAAAAGATTCCTGTACCTCCTCCAGACCTAGTGAATCCAAATCTCTGGGTGTGGAACTCAGTAATCTTCATCTTTCACAAACCTCCCAGGTGATACTCAATGAAGTCTTAGAACCACTGCACCACAAACTTTCAAGAAGAATCAGGGAAGTATAAGGAAAACTAGATTGAGAAAGATTATAAAAAGAAATGAAAGATACAAAAGAAGATGGTCTGCCTCTCGTAAATGTTGCAGCACAACTCACTTACCTGATGGAAGAATGAGCTAAATCCTCGTCAGTGCCGATCGCTCTAAGGACATAAGAGGGCTCCAGAGATGCAGAGGTGCAAGCACTGATGAGAGAGACACAAAAGCCTTGCTCAGTTCATCATCAACACAAACTCATCACAAACTCCTAGGCCCCTGGAGTCATACAAACAAAAGAGACTCAATTTAGCAGATGCTGCCCTGCCCATCATGGGATGTGAACCTACCTGCCCCAGCCCCTGTGGAGGATAACTAGTTAGAGCAAGCACAGTGCCAAAGCACCACAGAACATGATGTCACATGGGTTTGACAAAAAAAGGCAGCAGGGGACCCTGTGCTCATTCCTGAGGACAGAATATACCATCTGTACCAGTCTTTTTTTTTTCTTAAATTGTGCTTTAAGTGAAAGTTTACGATTCAAGTTAGTTTCTTGTACAAAAATTTATATACACATTGTTATGTGACCCTAGTTCCTCTCCCTATAATGTGACAGCACACTCCTCCTTTCCACCCTGGATTTCCCATGTCTGTTCAATCAGCTCTTGACCGTCTCTGCCTTCTTATCTCACCTCCAGACAGGAGCTGCCCATTTAGTCTTATGTATCTACTCAAGCTAAGAAGCACATTCTTTACAAATATCATTTTATATCCCATAGTAGAATATACCACTTGTACCAGTCTTGAGGGCAACTAAACCCTCGGTAGCCTTTGGATCAGCCTTCATTTCTGGAGACCTGCAGCAGAACTGCTAGTATAACCATAGAATAGATACATACATCCCTTGGGACCACAATAGGAACAAAAAAAAGGCAGCCCCAGGAAGCCCTCTCTGGGTAGCAAACTTCAGTCTGTGCCAAGCCAGCTAAAAAATTGTCATTTATAAACAGCTCTTTTACTTGTCACCTGTCAGTGTTCCCACCTGCACAATGGGAAGTTTAATAAGCTGTTATGGCACTCAGAAGCCAGGCTAATCAGCCCTGCCACAGTCCTTGTCTATCTGGTCCAACTCACCTCCCTGAGGATAAGGCAACATCCTTGAGTGCCATCAGCAGACTCTCCCCTTCCACATATGCAAAGGAGAGGTTGATACAGCCTGCAAAAAAGAACCACTATGAGGGGGCTCTCAGAGTCTTAGGATCTTCTAGAATGGGGATAGAAAGGGCTATACCTGGATAATGATGCTCAGGGTCCCCATTCATCACCACATCTGGAAGACTCTTCATTATCTTCTGTATCAGTCGCTCTGCTAACTTTGAGATCCGCTTGTGGTCATACTGAGAAGCAAGCAAGGGAAGACTAAGCACAGTTGACTATCAACCAGCTCAGAAACACATAGGTTAAGGAGAAATTCTATGCCCAGAAGTGACTATGCAAGAGAGCCATCTATCATCCTATGTTACTCATGGAGACCACTATCTCCCCAGCACTAACCACAGTGCCTGATGTGCAAAAGGTGCTTAGTAAACAGGACATTGGTCCCAACAATCTAGAAAAAAATGATCTAATAACCACTAAAAGGGTATAAGTTTGGGAGCCTATAACATGTCCCTTAGAACAAGATGCCAGTAGCGCTGGGATAAGGACAGGTGTTCTTAAACCTCTTCTTCCTATAAAAATCTGACCCAGTCATTCTGAGAAGCCTCTAAATAGGAGACTCAGCACAGGGGAAAAAGTTGTGGGAGGAAACTACTCTTCCCATACCTCCATCTCTTGCTGTGCCACTTCACACGCAGCCCCCAGCCCCACCACCAAGGGTGTGGGCACTGTCCCAGATCGCATACCCCGCTCCTGCCCCCCTCCACTCTGCAGGGCCTCCACACGCACACGGGGCCGGCGGCGAACGTAGATGGCACCAACCCCTAGCAAACAAAGTGTGGTTAAAAAAAAAGAGAGAGAAAAAGAGAGATGCAGATGAGACAAAATATCACTTTCCAAAGGAGTTAAAATAGTCTTTCAATTTTTCCATAAGTTTGAATTTTTCTAAATAAAAAAGTTGGGATACAAGAAGAAACAGCAGTAAAAGCATAATATTTAGCAAAATTATTTATCATCAGATAGGTGACTAGCAGAAAGAATAATGAACAAAATGGTTTAAGGTAGCAGCCTATGCATGTATGAAATGTATAATTCATCGAAGCATTATTCGTAACAGCAAAGACTGGAAACAACTTAGATGCCCACGGTTAGGGGAATGGTCAAATAAATGATGGTATGTCCATACAATGAAATACCAAGCAAGTATATAAAAGAATGAGGAAGCTCTTTCTAAACTGATACTGTAAAATCTCCAAGACACATTGTTGGGAAACTAGTGAAATCCAAATAAAGTTTGTACTTTAGTTAAAAAAAAAAAGATGCATTGTTAGGTGAAAAAAGTGAGATGCAGAACAATGAGTATCATATGCTACTGTTTAGGTAACAAAGTAAAGCAGGGGAAAGGCTGTGTGTTTGCAAACGTATAGAATGCTTCTAGAAAAATACTCAAGACACTGCCTCCCCAGAGTGGAAGTCCATAGCTACAAGAAAGAGGTGGCAGATAGGCTTTCCACTGTGTACTTTTTTGTAGCTTTTGAATTTTGCACCATATGAATACATTATCTTCTCTTAAAAAAAAAAAAAAAACTTTGAGAAATAAAAGGAGGGGTCAGAATGGGAGTAAAATTTGGCACAATTTCCCAGGGTATTATCAAAACTTAAAAAAGTGTATAACCTATGAAGCAGCAAACCCTCTTAGGGGAATTTCATACCAAAATATGAGAATGAGTGTGCAAAGATAGTCACTGAGTATGGAATACAGTACTTTATAAAATTCATTCACTGACTGTTCTCCCATACAGGACAACTGTTCGGGCAGAGACTGTAGATACCAAAAAAACTAAGACAGTGGTTCCCACATTTATTATGAAGGACACAAATTTTAAAATAATTTATGTACCAAACTATATTTATTAAGAAGTATCTCATTTCACCATTTGAAAAACCAAATTCAAGTATCCCCCACTATGTTAATCTATGCAATTCCCAAGCTCAAAGAACAAGTGCTCAGACACTGTAATGCAGTGAAGGATACAACATTATCTAAATCTATTTAGATCCTGAATTCAGAAATCAGGAGTTTGGGAACTGAGGAATATCTGTACAAATATAAGTTCTGATCACAGCTTCCAGCCAATATGATAAATGCTTTCATCAAAATAGATATATCTATAGTAAAAGCAGAGCCCTGGTGGTTCAGTGGTTAAGAGATTGGCTGCTAACCAAAAGCTTGGCAGTTCAAATCCACCAGCTACGCCTTGGAAACCCTATGCGGCAGTTCTACTCTGTCTTATAGAGTCACTACAAGTCAAACTTGACTTGACAGCAATGGGTTTTATAGTAAAAGCAGTAGCCCTGGTGGCAAAGAGGTTAAAGCACTTGGCTGCTAACCTAAAAGTCAGTGGTTCAAACCCACCAGCCACTCCGGAGGAGAAAGATGTTGCAATTGGCTTCCATAAAGATTTACAGCCTTGGAAACCCTACATGGCAGTTCCACTATGTCCTATAGGGTCGCTATGAGTTGGAATTGACTGAATGGCAATGTGTACAGTAAAAGCCAATAAAGGCAATATTTTAGTTAGATTAAGAAAGAATGCCTGTTGGGTTATGTGAAATAGTTGGTCACAAAACCACTCTTTACAATGTGTGGTGAACCTTAGAAGAAGCCATCTTACATACTTCAAGGAGCTCACCACTCTTTTTTCCACAAGGTACACACCCAGATGATACACCCTGTAGACAGAGAAAGTTACCAACACAAGTATCACCAACCACCACAGGTCCTCAGCCAAGAGACAGAAGAGTTGTTTGTTATGGCTGCCTCCATAAGATAGAGAACAACAGTCTCTTCCTGAGGGTTTGGGGAAGAGGCAGGACTCAGGCTTTAAAACACTCCTAAAGCCAACAGGACCATAAGTAACAGAACAGTATCCTTGAGAAACTAACAGGAGCACAGACTACTAAATCTTTTAGGAACAAAAACTAGAAGAAATATAAAAACCCATATAATCTCATCTAAGCTAAATAATGATTCAAAATGAGAAGAAACAGCTGCAAACATCCATTCATAATCAGAACGTGTAATGTACAAAATATGAATCTAGGAAAATTGGAAGTCATCAAAAATGAAATGCAATGCATAAACATTGATATCCTACGCATTAACTCGTTGCCATCGAGTTGATTCTGACTCATAGCGACCCTCTAGGACAAAGCAGAACTGCCCTATAGGGTTTCCAAGCAGCAGCTGGTGGATTCAAACTGCTGACCTTTTTGTTAGCAGCCAAGCTCTTAACCACTGCACCACCAGGGTTCTTCCTAGGCATTAGTGAGGTGAAATGGACTGGTATTGGCCATTTTGAATAGGACAATCATACAGTCTACTATGCTAGGAATGACAAACTGAAGAGGAATGTCATCGTGTTCATCGTCAAAAAGAACACTTCAAGATCTATCTGGAAGTACAACGCTGTCAGTGTTAGGATAACATCCATACGCCTACAAGGAAGACCAATTAATATGACTATTATTCAAATTTACGCACCAACCAGTAATGCCAAAGATGATGAAATTGAAGATTTTTACGAACTTCTGCAGTCTGAAATTGATCAAACATGCAATCAAGATGCACTGATAATTACTAGTGGAAATGAAGAAGGATTGGTAGTTGGAATATATGGCCTTGGTGATAGAAACGATGCCGGAGATTGCATGACAGAATTCTGCAAAACCAACGACTACTTCACTGTAAATACCTTTTTTCAACAATATAAATGGTGACTATACACGTGGATCTCATTGGGTAGAAAACACAGGAATCAAATCGACTACATCTGTGGAAAGAGACGATGGAAAAGCTCAATATCATCAGTCAGAACAAGGCCAGGAGCTGACTACTGAACAGACCATCAATTGCACATAGGCAAGTTCAAGTTGAAGCTGAAGAAAATTAAAACAATTCTATGAGAGCCTAAATACGACCTTAAGTATATCCCACCTGAATCTGGAGACCACCTCAAGAACAGATTTGACACATTGAACACTAACGACCAAAGACAAGATGAGTTGTGGGAAGACACCAAGGACATCATACATAAAAGAAAGCAAGGGGTCATTAAAAAGACAGGAAAGAAAGAAAAGACCAAAATGGATTTCAGAAGAGACTCTGAAACTTGCTCTTGATCACAGAGTAGCTAAAGTGAATGGAAGAAATGATGAAGTAAAATGAAATGTGCAAAGACCTGGAGTTAGAAAACCAAAAGGGAAGAACATACTCAGCATTTCTCAAGCTGAAATAACTGAAGAAAAAATTCAAGCCTCGAGTTACAATTCTGAAAGATTCTATGGGCAAAATATTGAATGACGCAGGAAGCATCAAAAGAAGATGGAAGGAATACACAGAGTAACTGTACCAAAAAGAACTGGTCGACGTTCAACCATTTCACGGGGTAGCATATGATCATGAACCGATGGTAGTGAAGGAAGAAGTCCAAGCTTCACTGAAGGCACTGGCAAAAAATAAGCCTCCAAGAATTGGGGGAATTCCAACTGAGATAATTTCAACAGAGGGATGCAGTGCTGGAGGTACTCACTTGTCCATGCCAACAAATCTGTACAATAGCTACCTGGCCAACCTGGCCAACCGACTGGAAGAGATCCGTATTTGTGCTCATTCCAAAGAAAAGGTGATCCAACAGAATGTGGAAATTATCGAACAATATCATTAACATCATACACAAGTAAAATCTTGCTGACGATCATTCAAAAGCAGTTGCAGCAGTACATCTAGAGGGAACTGCCAGAAATTCAAGCCAGATTCAGAAGAGGACACGGAACAAGGGATATCATTGCTGATGTCAGATGGATACTGGCTGAAAGCAGAGAATACCAGAAAGGTGTTTACCTGTGTTTTATTAACTACGCAAAGGCATTTGACTATATGGATCATAACAAATTATGGATAACATTTCGAAGAATGGGAATTCCATAACCCTTAATAGTGCTCACATGGAACCTGTACATAGACCAAGAGGTAGTTGTTCAAACAGAGTAAGGGGACACTGCATGGTTTAAAATCAAGAAACATGTGAACATGGAACATTCTCCAGAAGAGACCACATATTAGGCCATAAAGCAAGCCTTAACAAAATCCAAAGCATCCAAACATTACAAAGCATCTTTTCTGACCATAAAGCCATAAAAGTAGAAATCAACAACAGAAAAAGCAAGGAAAAAAATGAAATACATGGAAACTGAACAACACCTTGCTCAAAAACTACTGGGTTATAGAAGAAATTAAGGATGGAATACGGAAATTCATAGAATCAAACGAGA